GCAAATTTATTTACGTAGTAATGCGTATAGTCGCATCATACATATCCCAATTAGACGCGCTGAATCGGAAGAATTTAATTACATTTCACAAATAAACGAGACGGTCCGCGAGCAAATGCGCGGAATGCAGAATTCGCATTTGCTCTCAATCCCCCTTGGTCGCTCTCGGTTCCTTCAATACTTTTCTGGGCCCTGCCCAGGCAGGAACACCGCCGAAAATGCGTGGCGATTATCACGCGCGATGATCGTCCGGCCACGTGAGAGAGTGAAATTAAGATTGTGACTGACTAATGTGCGTCTTACGTGACATCGGGAGAGAGACACGCTTCGAAAGGTCTAACCGCATCCTTGCGCCGGAGTTACGCGGTTACGTAAGGAGAAAAGTGAGACACGCACGTACACACACGCCGAAGAAGAGGAAGAGAGAGAGAGAAAGACGGAGAGAGAAGTGCCGAGGAAATGTGTATCGCGCGATCGAACGGTAACTTTGTATCAACTGTTATCACTCGCCGATTTTTGCACAGCTGTTACGCGAGCCGGCGGCGCGGCGTTGTACATGTCGTTTGAAAAGAAAAGATAGAAAGGCGAAAGACTGGACCGACCGAACGGGAATATAACGCTCGCGTGGCTTTTATCTTCAAAGTAAGCTGATACTGTCGATTTTTCACGTTTACTGCACAGCAGGATAGCTTAATGTCACATGCAAAATTTGCGACCCGATGGTTATGTAACGTATAATTAAATTTCATGATTTACTAGGAATTTTTTTCGCATGTTCAGTGTTTCTCCTACAAATGATAACGGTGGGTTTTGCAAGATTAACGAGACGATTGTGCGAGACAAGAGTCGCAAGACTGAGAAATTACCCGCAAATTCCGTGTAATTCATTTCTCACCTGAATACGACGCTAATTCAGGCACAACGAGAGTTCTGTTGGACGTGCATCTGTTCGAAACAAATGTGAATTTTTCCATTTTAATACGCGACGCGGCATCAATCGAACACGAGCGGAGTGAAAGCCAATCGCGGGCATTGTACGCGAAATGAAAAGCGCATTGAAGATCACGCGAAATTACATAAAAGAAATTTATCTTTAGAGCGGCGTCGTCGCCGTCGTGTCGAAGCGACGACGCGCGAACTCATGAGCGCGCGATCACTCCGCGAGACACAGAAGCCTCAAGATTGATTATTTTCTACCTTCACCTTTTACCCAACTTCTACTCAATTGCGTAAGCGAGTAATGTCAATGAGAAACGGCTAGATCTCTCTGAGAAACGCGGGAACGATATCTTTCATTTAAACAGCCTTTCATCGAACAATTAAAGATTTCGGTATATCTTCACTTATCCTCTGATCTTCGTTATCCTTCATGGAGAAAGAATAATACGGTCTAATGTCGAAATGCGAAAACGACGAGAAACGCGAAGGCGACGCTAAATGTTGTGGAGTAAAGTGAGATAGTAATAGTAAGTCGCCGAAGCTATATTGAACGCCTGAAGGTATTTCGCCAAATTGACAGCGATGTCAAAGAATAAATACATCCGCCGCGCGACGAGTCATGTGGACGCGTGCGAATAGCGATGCAAATACCTCGCGCGCTCGCGTCTGTTTATACTCTCGCGAGTTATTACGTGCTTCGCAGTCGCGGCGACTTTCTTCGCGCGCGCCAACGGATTGCCCGGCATATAGCCGGGCGTTAAACGCAAACGACCGGCGGTGATCATCGATCCGCGTCCCCGACGTCTCTTCCCGGCGACTGTTTGACCCGTTTAATGTTTGAACTCGGTGATCGTAGCCGTGGCTTTTTCACTTCCCGCGGTCTTTCACTATAGTCGTGGGCTGGGAATGCAAAACGGCCTTTGCGAACGAAACGTTCTTCGCACTTTCTTCCCCCCTCGCGTTTTTGCATTACGCAGACAAACTTTATTGCTGCATTCATCGCCACGTAGACTTCGACTCCTCTCTGCTCCCCTCCCCCCTCCTCCCAATTCTGGCGCTTATGTATAATTTCTTCTTTTATTTATTATGTAAGAATTTTTTTTTCTTTGTCGTCATCTCGCGTTTTCAACTCAACCATTGATCTCGTCGGTACAATATTAAGTACGGTTGCAAGTATAAAGCGATCCCCTCCCATCGGTAGCATTTTGGTACTTCCTCAGCGAGAGTTTGCATATCCCAAACGCGCGCACTGTTCTTATTACATTAGAAATTTCATCTTGGATCAGTTGTTAGCTCGAGATTCACGTGGCGAGCGCAGAAGTGCCGGAAGACACGCGGAAACGCGAGATCAGGCCGTGCAACGTACGTGTACGTGTTAATTAAGGCAGAAACAGACTTCGGATGAAAGTCACGGCTACATAATGACGTGCTTAACTTGCTTTTCTGCGAATCTATCGCGTAACGCAATCAAGTTGCGGTGAACCGCGCGGGAGAAAGTGAACGACTAAAGCTCCCTTTGCCAAAATTCACTCGGAAAGATTATAAATTCTCGATTAATAATTAATTCTCAGATTGTACAAGTGCAACAAGACATATTTCTGAAGCGAAAAGAGGAGAAATGGACCTGTCGCGAAAGAAGCACCGTTCTTATCCTTTTTATTGGCAGCTGTTCGGGATCGAGATTGATTTATCGGCAAAACTTGCTTGACGCCGTGTACCTGGGAACGTCCTTGACGACCGGAAGCTCGTAAACCGTCGAGGATGAATATTCCGCGGGCGGGCCGCGATAAAACGCGCAAACGAATCGATGATGCGCTCGCGGGCTCGTCCCACGTGTCGCGACCGCGATGCATACATACGTTCGCCGCGCGGATATCCCACGGGGCCGCATTCCGTCCGTCGTCGCCGGGGTTTCAATAGACGGTACTCTTTATGCGGAACGTGTAGAATCCGCAGATATATCACCCCGTGCCACGCGGTGCGTCATCCATGCATGCCGCGCGCGGTCCGGGCCTCGATTATTACACGGCCCCGTATTCGCGTCCCATATCTAGCGCGAAGCGTGGGCGTTCGATTGCACCTTTTATTTGTCTAGCGTCGGAGAACCGTTGCATGCAATCTGATTACAGTCTCGAGAGGCTAAGCGTTCGTGTCCGACATCGGGTCGGTGATAAATTTGACGACGCACCCGGCAAAAATCGATAAGACTCTTCCTCGCCGGTGGAGAGATTATGTGGGTTAACGAATTACGCGAAGGAATTTCATGTCATTCGTGAAGCAGGAAGAAAAATCTTCTTCAAAAGCAATCTCGGTTTCTGTGTGCGAAGGCAACAATATAGATAAGAGGCTCAAGATAATACTCAGTAATATACAAGCCTAAGACAATAAATCGCCAAGAAGAAGTTGCGTAAATTATCGCAAATTCAAAACACGCTTTATTCTTCCTGCGCTTTCTTGAATTCTATCAATTGCTTGCGAAACGTTTTTGCTGCAACCGCGTGCCCATCATCCGGCCACCCCGCGTATAAATGCGCGCCGTGAGAGAACTTGGGATTTACATTTTATACCTCGCAGATATCGCGCGCAGCTGGTGGTCTAACGAGATGCTTACGCGCGATTTGCACAGAATGCCCGTATCATCCTTTCGTTTCTCCGATTCCCGATTCCATCCGATTATCGCCGGCGTCGGCACCCTTCCACGTCGTCCTCTCGCGAATTTACGCTCTACGGGCCGTCACTCTCCCGCACTAACAGCGTATATGCCACTCGCGGTCCTTGGAAATTATTTTCATCCTTCAAGGGCCGCCGTAAACCGGCGTCCGGTGTCATACGGACGTGAGAATATATGACTGAACTTTTATCTTGTTCTTCGTGAACTTCGCCAATGTGTGCTAAAACATCAGGGATCGTGCAATTTGAATATTTCTCAAGTTTCATGCGCGTTCTCCAATTTCCTTGACTGAAAACATATTTCCACAATTATATTTTCTTTTTATTCTCTCTTCTCTCTTGCGAATAAACTTCTCTTCTATTAATTTATGGGCATATATGTCTTATAATATTTTAAAATAAATTGACAATTTACAATCATCGCGGCGGAGGATCTTACGCTTAATAACAATTTTTGTGAATTTTGTACATTATGTTTTTGAATAATTTATTTATTCTATGTTACATACATATATCGGTCATTATTTATTAGGATTTATATCCGTGTCCTTTTCCCGATGTCAATTCCTAACGCTGATTGCGCGAGACGATTCATTCGCAATTCTCGCGACGTGTCGTGGCTGCTCGCTCGCTCGCGCGATTCATTTGCGATTCTTGAATCGTACCCGATCGCCACGCGCGTGTTTACATCCACGTATAGGAAACACCTTGGTCTCGGCACGAAAACCCAGTTAGCGGACGAGCCGAGCCGAGCCGAGCCGGGCGTCTCTCGAGGACATCCTCGAGATCGCCTCGCGCGCACGCGAGTCAACCCGCGCTTAATCCTCGGAAACGCTCAAGGGGGAATTAATCGTTATTGTGGAACACCGAGTTTTATGCATCCTGCCGCGGAGGATGACGCGAGAAAAAGTGTCGTCTGCATACGAACACATGGGGTGTGAGTCACGGAACTGGGGAGAGCCGCGTCTCTCCCGCGAATTAAAGAATTAATGAGAGATGATTTGATTTAATTTCCTTTCCTAAACGGAATTATTATATCTCGTCGTACGATTACTTCTCATATTCCATAAGATTTGGAGAATAATTTTATGGGGTCTTCGAATCCCATTCATCTTCTTTTCCTTCACTCGGCGTAGATTAAAGTACGTATATATGGATTATAATTTAATTTACATATATGTATATATTATTTATATTTATATTTAAATAATAATGTATATACATATATATAAATTAAATGAAAAATGAGGTTTGTGCTCTATACATATACCTCGACATACACTTATATTTTTCTATTTTTAAATTGAGGACGCTCTTTACAATTTGCACATATGTCGTCAATTATACTTTGCCTGTCACTACCAAAATGATCGAAACATCGCGAAACTTACCCTGCAGCAAAAATCCATGCAGCGCGAGGTTCATGGCTACAATATGATTGATTTCTTCAGCCTGAAAAAAAATACATTGCTAGAGTCAAACAACGGTTACAAAATAAAATAAATATTCAATTTCGTAATACATTACTAGTCATTATAATTATCCCTATTCACTCCAACGTTTTTTTCACCCCAATAATCCTCCAACCATGCACTTTCGAGTCCCACGTGTTTTTTATAATGTTAATAGCTTTGAAAAATTCCCCAAAAATTATTATAATATCTTTGTACCTTCGACTAAAAATCAATGTAAAGAACATTTGAAAATCATTTATTTAAATATTTTTTTATAACAATTATATGTTGACAAACACACGTTACGACTCGTTTTACTTAAAAAATCATAACTCACGAACAAATTGACGAAGTTTAATGAACCAAAACGCGAATTAAAGCTAAAAGTAGTGCAAATGAGAAAAAAAATATGAGATAATTATTAATTAAATAGGAATACTTAATTTCGTCGCCGCAAATTTGGTAATTTTTAAATGGTACAGAAGGACTTTAAGAACTTAAAGAATGCTAGAAAAAGAATTTCTGAATAAGAAAAGGCGAATTTGAAGTGTGACAGATATTTTTTATGTAAAAAAATTAATTTTTTTAATATAATCGTAGCTCCTCCCCACCTCTTCCACCTGCCTCTGAGCCATAATAGACCTCTGTGGAATGTTAAATTTTTTTTTTAACGACAAAAATATTTTAAATACGGTTAAATTATACACAAAAATACATTTTTATCGAAAAAAATGCTCATTTACCTTTCACACAACACTGACGTAATCCTCCAACCATACACTTTCGTGTCCCACCGAGATTTTGATTGTTCCCCGTTTCGAGAGTAAATGAGCTAGGACTTTGAAATTTTTACCTGAGGTTCCCTGCCACAATAACTTTTTTCCGGCGTGGAGGGGATTCTCCCACGATCATTTGTTTTCCGGAACAAACGACTGTTAGAAATTCGTGGGACACGAAAGGCATGGTTGGAGCGAATAGGGTTATGTATATAAATTTTCATCGAATTTATTTAAACGTAAGCATTAAATTCTGCGGAAATCGCTGCATATCTTTAATAGTCCCGCGTAACAGGTAATAAAATTGTCTCACAAATGGAGAAAGCGTTACGTATATCGAGTACAACGTCGGAAACACGACGTCAACGTCAAAACGCTAATGTTATTCTAACAATTTGCTCTTGGAGGATAATAACGTAATAACTAGCCGCGCTAATTGCTACTAAATCGCCCGGAGGCGTAAAGGAATTAACCGAGGCAAATAAACTCGTCCCGCCGTGGTCCGCCGGGCTTTTGTGTGCTCTTGCGGACGGTCAGTAGCTTCAAAGGACGTGTGACATCTCTATCGTCAGTGTCAATATTTGTCTGGAAGCCTCGGCACGGAGAAGAGGAACAAACGCCCGTCTAATACCGCGGGTGCCGCATTCAGCGCCATGTCGATCTATCGGGCGCCCCCGAGCAGCTAGCAGCTAGCTAATTGCCTGTCTACTAATTAAGCGTAACTTAGGCAACTCCTCGAGCGAAAGTCCTTGGTGGAACAGTCAAGAACGCAATTTAAAGAGCGATTCTGCCACGTTCTACCCAGCGTTCTGCGACTTCATAATCTCTCATCGTGCTCAGACAAGAATTTCTTGTCACGCTTTACCACTTTTCCTTTTTTTCGTTTTACAATACTTCACGGACGTTTATTTTTCTGCAAACTTCAATTAATGATTCATTATTAATGTTAAGAAGAAAATTGTTACATGTATCGCATATGACATATTTCAATTTTTCACACATCGAGTGGATTTTTGATAAATTGCTCCTGTGTGTGTTTAATTTTTATTGTTAGTTTTTCGTTATTTAATACTTTACTTAAAAATAAGAAACATAACGACTGTTTAAAATATTTAAGATAACTTCGTTAGAAACCGTGCATTTGTGTGCACTTATTTATTTTGTTCTGATGTCATTATCAAACCTACATGGCTGCAGCGCCGCATGTACCGATTTCGTACGTGTGAAAAATGATAAACAAGATCGCATGTGCATACATGGGCAGAGGAAGGGTGGGGGATGTTCGAAAGTCCATCGGGAACAATGACCGGGCCGCGTTGCAAGCGAAAATGATTCAGGTCGCGCAAGTTAACGTTATAACGGCGTGTCCGTCGACGAGAAAACGGCCGATGAGTTTCACGGCCCGTATTATTACTGAACGCGATAATTGCACGGTCAGGAAAATGTGTCGTGTCTGAGAAAATGAGAGAAAATTAATGTAAATCTCGCTTTGGGGTGAACGGAGAAGATTTTGTTCAATAATTCTCCTGGGTATTTTCGATCCTCGGTATTCCGAAATTCTTAAGCGCGATTACATTTGTTTTTATTGTGCAATGTAACTTTCTCTTTGTTTCTCGCGATTCTTTACTTCTAGACTACTGGCAAAAGTTACTTTCATCGAGATTGTTAGACTTCGACACGTTGACTCAGAAGCAATGTTAATTATCGCGATCTTTCAAATATGATTTATTATCATAACGGCCGAGAAGAATATTTATTTAACTTCATATTTCATATTTTTCACTATTTCCATCATAATTGTTATTTTCTCTTTTATATAAAAACAACATACGGAAAAAAATAAAATAACATCTCTTGGATTTGAAACAATAGTGCAACGTCGGAATTAATTTACAAGTAACATGCAATATTTTTCGATTCCGTAATTATCTTCTTTTTTGTGCGAAATCAAGCCTGATCAAAGTGCGTAAAAATTATCACGTTACGCGTCCGAGAATATGAGAAGCTGAAACAGCCGGGGAACTGTTTGGATAGGAAATTGGTCATTTGCAAAACGAGCGCGCGATATTTGGCAATCCCGTACATACAACTCGAATAGCATCAAGGTCGCAGGTTGCACAAGTGCACAGCTGCGGCGGCGGCGGCTTGCGCGCGCTTTATTGCGATGTAAAAGCGGCGCGACGTTTATCGGATCTCGATTTATCATAACGAATCGTGGCTCGGCGGTCGTACGGATAAATGACGCCGATAACACGCGCGGTCCCGCGATCGGGCGCGTTTCTTCGGGTACGTTTATATGGCAGTTATGAATGATCAGAGCGATTCAATCATTCTCCCGAGAGCCTGCTTTCCAACGCGCGGGGGCGTATATGCATACATCGCGCGCGGTTTGTCAGTCCCATCGGCCGAGCTCGAGATAGTCATTCCGCCGGGTAAAAAAGGCAAGGTGGATATCTCCACCACGTACGTACGATCGTTAAGCCGAGAAAAATCACGCGAGGCGATATATCGACGGCTCTTTAACCCGGCCCGATGCACGGTGCGGTGGTTGCGCCCGTTATACTGGGATGTATTGTAAATCAATGTAACGATCGCCGGGGGGAGGATGGAGGATTATTGTTAAACGTTCGCCGATTGACGATTTTCGAAGATATTTACAGTTTTCCTGCCGGCGTGAATAACAACCCTTTTATTACGCCTAAATTTAGAGCGGTATGCAGTTAACCCTAGAGAGGTAATATGAATTTTCTCATACGTGAAAGGCCAAGCGGGGTATTAAATTACCCCAAACTTGTACCGCGTGTATAATGTTTCTATTTGTTGTTAGACAACTTTTTAATAGATAATTTTGTTTGTTCTTTAATAGGGAAGACGATAGTAGTCATCAATTTGCGGTAGTAAAAAAAAACAGTAAAAAAATCTCGAAAAACAAAACAAAGAACCAAAAATTGGGCTGAAATGACTATTTTTATAAAAAATGCTGTAGTTTTTCATAAAATTCACCGATTTTAAAAATTCCAACGGATTTTGAAAGACGAATAGACAACCTTCAAGGGCATGTAAGCAATTTTTTCGTTTTTTAAAAAAAAACATATTTCTTTGAACATCTGAAGTAGAGGAAATGATAAAAAACTGTCGGATTGGAAAAATCGCAAGAAATGGAAAGTAAAACAGATTCTATCGATTATTATTTATTTGAAAGGTAGTCAAAAGTTATAAAAGTATATGGAAACAGTAAAATTAACTCCACAAAAACTTTATAAAGTTTTGCAAGAACAGCAAAAATGAAATAATTGACCGAATCTTAAACAATTATATATGAAACAGGGGTAGAATTTTCCGGGGAGTGCTATAAAGTGTATAATTTTTTGTTACCGATTTTCACAAAAAATCTGAAATATATTTTACTGTGATAAAAGTCGAACGTAAACGGTTAAGTAAAGGTACTACGTTATCCCAAACGATTTTCTTTTTCGGTCACAGCTGCTGCACGGATCTAACGCACTCGCTTAATGACGGAGGTCGACTGCCGGATGACTAAACTAAATTATGGTTAGGGTCTCAGTATGAAAACTAACCTTCCTAAGTCAGGGGCGTAATTTGAATTTCGCGTGGGGCAACGTATTACCCCACATTACCTTTCTAGGGTTAATCGCATCTTCGCGCCTTTATCGCGCGTCTAAAAAACGCGCACGGTACAAGCGCGTTCCTCCTTCGTCATCTCGTATTATTTCCAATAACGGAAATCACAGCGATTCATGTGTAAACGTATTGCTCGTAAATAGTATTTTTTATTTTCGCGGGATGTATATTTTTTATCGATATGCGTGTCGCGCGATTCGCAAGACGTCTCCGCCCGTTTCGGCGCACTTTCCTCGCGTCTCTTGTGGACGGCGCTCCTGAAAGACGATTTTCACCTTACGTAAAACCGGCACATCGGCCCGGCCGTGGCTCGTTTCCACGGTGAACGACTTTCCCCCCTTCGGTCTCGTACACGCACGATGCGTTTTATCGAAGACGCAGAGCGGCCGCACCCTCGGGCGTGCCGGATTTCGCGGCCGATTCACGACCGATCGATTTCCATTTTCGCATTGCTCGCAAAGAAAGATAATTGTAGAGTCGTAAATATTGTTACAAATTGATCTCTATACTTGAAGTGTATACATGGTGGCATCTGAACGTTTAAAGATCGCGATTGTCATAAAATAAAATGTATATAAAA